TGTTTTATTTTATTTTTTCCAGAAACATAGATACCATCTCAAAATTTTCTGATATTCTTGTTTTTATCTCTTGTGGCTTGTTGAATCAAAGCAGCTGAATTTGATACAAGTATAATGTTGTTTCCTTCAAAAATTAACTCATTTTTCTGGACTTGAGATACTGAACAAACGATACCTGACCTCATTCTAACCCTGTGCATGTATATTTCACTCAAGAAATTTTAGATTTCAACAAAGGAACCATTCTCTCAAATAACAGTGTTGATGGGGAAGCGAGCATACACAGACCTCATCTTGTAACTGAAGCCCAACGTAACACCTTTGATTATATTCTGTACATATACGGTCCCCAACCATTTTGGTGCTAGAGATCAGTGCTCCTTTGAGAATCTAATGCCTGCTGATCTGAGGTAGAGCTGAGGCGGTGATGCTAGTGCTGGGGAGTGGCTGCAAATACAGATGAGGCTTCACTCACTCACCCGCCGCTCACCTCCTGATGTTTTGCTTGGCTCCTAATAGGCTACAGACCAGTACTGTCCATGACCTAGGGGTTGAGGACCCCCGCTGTACATGAGTACAGAGAGTGAGAACAGTAGCCTGTTCATTTCTATTTCCTCAGCATTTGTCAACCTGGAGCCTCTCCTTTTTCTTTCTTTCCCAAGGAGACTGAATTCTACATTGATGTGATTAAAATTCCTCTGAAGGGTGCCTCTGGAGCCCTTCACAATAACTGTGCATCCCACATTTTCTCAAATGTTGACAGTTTGATTGCTGAGAATGGCCTTCATCCTCACAGTAGATGTAGCAAAAAGAGTGCAATTTGTACATCTTAATCTTTTCCCCTTTTTCACCCATTCCCTCAACCCTCCTCCCATGAGACAACCATCAAAATGTTCTCTGTATCTATAAGTCTGTTTATGTTTTGTTTATTTTGTTCTTTAGATTCCACATGTAAGTGATATCATTTGGCATTTGTCTTTATCTGACTTACTCCACTCAGCACAATACCCTCTGTGTCCATGCATGTAGCCCCAAATTGCAATGTTTCGTTCTTTATCCTTTAGTCTGTTGATGGACACTTAAATTGTTTCCATATCTTGCCTGTTATAAATAATGTTGCAATGAACATAGGGATGCATGTGTCTTTTTTTTTTTAATTGGTTTTGTATAATACCTGTTATTGATGCTAATGAAAGAATATTTA